ATATGAAGGAGATGTGGCGCCTTTACGGCAATTCATGAAGTAATTTGTCCGCAAGACACACAAGCAAATCGGGTCCGTGTCTTCTTGCCATTGTAATGTTTTTGATTCTAGATTCAATCAAGGGACCTCTTCTCGGAGGAACAGCGGAAGCCGTTCGTGGAAAAAGCGGCGGCGTTGGCAGATGAGAAGCGGAAGATGAGACGAGCACTTCTGGGTTCGGGTGAAGGCGAGGCTTCAGAGCACGACGAAGCAGGCCAGGACATGCAGCCGCAAGACAATGGTGCCATGATGTACAGCTTCCAGGGCAGCACCATCGGGACAGAGGTCTTTTTGGGGCGAGGTACATACGGGGCCGTGTACCGGGCAAAAAGCGACTGTGGACGCACCTACGCTCTGAAGCTTGCAGTCCGAGATGATACAATCCAAGATGTTGGCACGGAGTCTTCCTACTTGTGCAAAGCACGTCACCCAGGCGTGGTCTGCTGCTACGGCTTGGCAGTCGCAGTCGCAGTCGCGAAGTCGCCGTCGGTGGCTATGGTGATGGAATGTGCCGAGGCGTCTCTTCTGGAACTACTTCGTCACACTCCACAGCACTCAATGGAAGCAAGGTGGCAGATGACACTACAGATCCTGCGGGCGACTGAGTACATCCACTCCGTAGATATCCTTCACCTCGACATCAAGCCCAACAATATCCTCGCTTGGAAAAAAAATACGAATGGGCATGGCTGTCCGCAGCTTAAGCTATGTGATTTCGGAATGGCTGGATTGAGCGGCACCAAACGACGGGGCGACTGTGTTTTTACAACACCATGGAGAGCCCTTGAGCTACACGTCGCCGGCCGTCGCGAAGTGACGTTGACGCCTGCAGCAGATCTCTTTGCAGTGGGGTGTGTCATATTTCTGCTATTGGTCGATGAGAAGGCAAACTCCCACCACTACGGCATCTTGGGGCAAGAGCATTATGACCAGATCTCAAAAAATCCCGGGCCGGAAACAATTGCTGCAGCCTGGAAATTCAGAGACCTTCGTTTGGATCTGTGTCCCAAGAAAGAGATGTTGGCGGCGAAAGTGATTCGTGGTCTGGTTTGCCAGGCGAATCAGCGGATGTCTTCACATGTGGCGCTGGCGGTGGTGGTCGACAGGCTGAAGCAAGGCTTCTGAATTACCTAGGCGTTTTCATGAAAACGGCGAGGTAATCTTAAAGCATTTTATGTAGGCATTAGGGTCGCTCCTTGAAAGCTTTAGTCGAATACGTAATACAGGGTCACATCTGTCCTGAAATTACCTCGGCATTTTCATGAAAACGCTGGGGTAATGACATAGGGAAAGTCTGCCAGAATTACCTCGGTGGCTCTCTGTGCTATCTTTGCTCCGTGCGGGGGTGAAAGAAAATCCGGACCTGCGGCCGCGAAGGCTAGTGCACTGGGTGCAGTCTGATTTCTGTTAAAGCAGCCTGTCCTTTGCCCAGGTCGGCTTGCTCCATGTGCACGGCTCCCGGCAGGACTCTGTCTTAGTCTTGCTGTTGGCAGAGCTCATGTTGTTGCACCGGTCC